AATATATGTGCATGTATGTGTGTGTGTGTAGACTTTTATCATTAGCACTTTGTGACAATTTGTTTGTTTTGTTGATATCAACGTTTACGGCGTATGTTTAATATTTTAGCAAAACAAAGCATCATATATACGAACATACCCCTTTTGATTTGTTTTTAATACGTAGCACAAACAATCAGACTCTCGAAAAAAACACACACGCACATGTACACACGTCTCTCACCTTAACACTAGTGAATGGTGAGTGGCCTCTAGGCTAGGCAATGTGCTCTCTTTTGTTGTTTTCTTTTTTAGTTCAACATGAAGTTCCTTTACCTCTCTTATTTTATTATTAATATATTTATTTTTTATTATACTAATTCTCATGAAACTGTACTTGTGGGAGTGCATTGTACTTGTTTTTTGAAGTAATAAACAATAATAAAAAGAAGCATGTTTAGTGCGCTCATTTATTGCACTATACAATAGCAACAACAATGAACAGTATGTGCCGTTATCAATCAATTACTCATCTTTGTTATGCTGGAAAGACAAGAAACAACAACAATATTTCCTTTTGTGCACACAACAGTTATATTCACTAGGCATCTCCTACTCTCGCTCTCACTCTCTTTATAAAGGAGTACTGTAATTTGCCATATGAAGAACAGTTGCCAAAATCAATAATTTCATGATCGGTAATGCAAAGAGAGTGGGAGAGAGAGTGTTTAATCACAAATGGGAGAGATAATATAAATTAGTTAAGGAATATGACAATAGAATAGAAGAAAATAGTTTATCAATAAATGTGCGTGTTCAGATTAATATGGAAAATAATCGAAACTAGTAAATGCACTGCGCAAAATTGATATCTTTGTTAGGTCTCGGAAAAATTTAAGAATATTTTTTCAAGGCCTAAACAAGGCGTGGGATTTTAAAGAAAATTTTGCAAGACCAAAAACAAGCGTGGATTTTTAAAGAATATTTTTTATTTAAGGCCTAAACAAGGCGTGGATTTTTTTAAAATATTTTTTCAAGGCGTGGTTTTGTTTAAGGAATATTTTTTCAATGCGTGGATTTTTTTAAAAATATTTTTTTTTTCAAGGCGTGTATTTTTTAAGAATATTTTTTTCAAGGCGTGGATTTTTTTAAGAATATTTTTTCAAGGCGTGGATTTTTTTTAAAATATATTTTTTCAAGGCGTGGATTTTTTTAAGAATATTTTTTCAAGGCGTGGATTTTTTCAAGGCGTGGATTTTTTTAAGAATATTTTTTTCAAGGCGTGGATTTTTTTAAGAATATTTTTTTTCAATGTGTGGATTTTTTTAAGAATATTTTTTCAAGGCGTGGATTTTCTAAGAAAATTTTTTCAAGGCGTGAATTTTTTTAAGAATATTTTTCCAAGGCCTAAACGAGGCGTGGATATTTTAAAGAATATTTTTTCAGGAACCATCCGAGGCGTGGATTTTTTAAAGAATATTTTTTAAGGAAACGAGGCGTGGATATTTTAAAGAATATTTTTCCAAGGCCTAAACGAGGCGTGGATATTTTAAAGAATATTTTTCCAAGGCCTAAACGAGGCGTGGATATTTTAAAGAATATTTTTCCAAGGCCTAAACGAGGCGTGGATATTTTAAAGAATATTTTTCCAAGGCCTAAACGAGGCGTGGATATTTTAAAGAATATTTTTCCAAGGCCTAAACGAGGCGTGGATATTTTAAAGAATATTTTTCCAAGGCCTAAACGAGGCGTGGATATTTTAAAGAATATTTTTCCAAGGCCTAAACGAGGCGTGGATATTTTAAAGAATATTTTTCCAAGGCCTAAACGAGGCGTGGATATTTTAAAGAATATTTTTCCAAGGCCTAAACGAGGCGTGGATATTTTAAAGAATATTTTTCCAAGAACCTACAGACCAATAAGAGTGGATTTTAAAGTATAAGCGTGGATTTTAAAGCATAAGCGTGGATTTTAAAGAATATTTTTCCAAGGCCTAAACGAGGCGTGGATATTTTAAAGAATATTTTTTCAAGGCGTGGATATTTTAAAGAATATTTTTTCAAGGCGTGGATATTTTAAAGAATATTTTTTCAAGGCGTGGATATTTTAAAGAATATTTTAAAGAATATTTTTCCAAGGCATAAACGAGGCGTGGATATTTTAAAGAATATTTTTTCAAAGAATATTTTTCCAAGGCATAAACGAGGCGTGGATATTTTAAAGAATATTTTTCCAAGGCCTAAACGAGGCGTGGATATTTTAAAGAATATTTTTCCAAGGCCTAAACGAGGCGTGGATATTTTAAAGAATATTTTTCCAAGGCCTAAACGAGGCGTGGATATTTTAAAGAATATTTTTTCAAAAAATATTTTTCCAAGGCATAAACGAGGCGTGGATATTTTAAAGAATATTTTTTCAAAGAATATTTTTCCAAGGCCAAAGCGTGGATGTTTTTAATTATTTTTAAATTCTTTTAAACTATTGTTCAATAGGGCTATCACAGGAGTATTTTATTTTTTTTTTTAATTATTTAACTTCCACTTAAAAATTCCCATATGAAAATGCCTCACCACCATTAAAACTATAAATCGAGTGATTGTCCAAACCTTTATTTATGTTTATAAAGGTTTTCTCCGTATTTTTCAAAACCAAATGACACTGAATTTTCACACACTGCTCTCCTTTAAATGACACTGTCACACCAATCTCTCATTTGCTCTCATTTTATTTTTTGATCAATCTTGTTCTATACATCAAAAACAAAACCATCACTTTCTCTTCCCCTTTATTTTATATGTTAAAACAAAATTGTGTGTATTTATTATTTTTATTTTCATTTTATTTATTTTTTTATTTCCAGTGTATTATTATTTTTATAAATTTATTTAATTTACAATAACAATTACGATAAGAATTTGCTCTCATTTAAAATATTATATCACACACACGCACTGTTATCTCTCAGAGCTCCAACTCTATGTCTTATTGGAGGGGAGAACAAATACAAAAAGAGTTTTTTGTGTGAGAGCGAGAGTTGATTGATAATTGAATAACAAAAAAACCGTAATAATGAGAGAGGAAATCAACAACACAGTAACAAAACAACGACGACAGAAATCAAGCTAACCACCAACCAGCCACTCATCCAACCATTCATATGGAAAAAATCGTCTAACAACAACAAAAACAGCTGACTAGATTGCTGTGACTGTGTTTTGTTGTTGTTGCTGCTTGCTAACTTGCTTGTGTCTGTCGTTGCTTTGCTTTTCTGATGGTGTTAAAGTTAGTTACCCCACATAACAGTCAAACAGTCAGAAGTAGTCGCTAGCCAAAAGCGAATGGTCGAAGAAGAAGTTTTTGTTTAAGCTGTGCGCGCGCTCTTAAATCGAATGTTATATAGTAGATTGGTGTTTCCGTTTAAAAGGAATCCAATAAGAATTTTAAACGGTTAAAAAAAAAATAATCCTGTAATAAAACATTCGTTGTGGTCGTACGAGACAGCAAAGAAGAAAAACAAAAATAGAAATAAGTGCCTTCCATTTTAATGAAATTAAAGAAAATAAAATAATTCAAGTGCCTTATAAAAAAAATAGAAAATTATTTTTTTTAACACAAAGAGATTGTAAATAGAAGCCTATGGAATTGTAAAGAAATTTTGTGCAAAAAAAGGAAAGAAAAAATTAAACCAAACAACGACATTTTTTTTAAATGCCATTATTTTGCCACCAATCAAACAAACAACGAAAAAAACGTAATAAGAAATAACAAAAAAAAAACTGTATTTTATGGAAATCGAAAATATCAGTAAAAAAATTAATCGTACGTAAAATTTGATAATACGTGTATAAATTGACATTTCTGGCAAATTGTTTGCATATTTCCAATAAGAAAAGAAAAAAATTAAAAACAAATCAACAATAAAAACATCACGTTTCAACGTTTTGGGTTTCAATGATTTTGTTGTTATTGTTTTACACAATAAAAACAAAAGTAACTGGCAAATACCACCATTAACAGCAACAACAATAATAACAATAACATTCACATACAGTTCAGAGACATGCAATGCATATTTTGTCTTGTTTGGTTTTGTCTTCTGTGAACAAGAAACAAGAATAGTTAGCAACAATAACAATAGTAATAACCTCCATTTAGAAACAACAACTGTACTACAACGAGGAGCAACAATAACAAGAAATCAAGGGAGTTCATGCAAGACATGTGAAACAAAACAACAAGAACAGCCAAGCAAATCAAAGAGCCTGCATGCATAGTCAGTCTTCCTGTTAAAAGAGATTACTACAATAGTAAATTTCCCTGAGATAAAGAGTGGGGCAACAAAAAGAGAGAGAGGAGATTTGGTGCATGCAAAAATCAAGCACTCTCACTAACTCCAACAACAGTGCATTAACACTGCATATGTTATAAGAAGAAGCAGCAGCAGCCATTTGTCATTGTTATCTTGTAAGCCAGTCTTCTTCTTGTTCTTACTGTAGTAAGAAAAGGCGGCTTAAGAAGGCAAATACCTTTTGTGGAAACAAAAAAGGAAGAAGCAACACATAATAAAAGTTCAAGCCCAAGAAATACAATACAATAATACAAGAAAAAAAGGCCAGAAGCAACATAAATAGATCGCACAACAGAATACAACAAAGAACAAGAGTAGCAACAACAGGCAAACAGACAGGCCTTTCAGAGTACATAGAGAGCAAAAAAACGAATTGTTGCCAAGTCAGTGAGTGACGACTGGACTGCCTACAAAGAAAAAATAAAAACAACAAGAAGAAGAAAAAAATAATAATAAACTAAAAAAACATACATATTTGGAGACAGGCACACTTCGTACCGGCGGGAGCCACATTCACACACTCTCACACACACATATAATACAAGTAATAACAACAAAAGCCTGCAGTGACGTGCTAAAAATAAACTAAACCCTACCCTAACACTATTGGCGTTTTGTGTTAAGGCTTGAGCATTTGCCGGAGAGGTTTTGCAAAAAAAAAAAAAATTGAAAAAGCAACAACTTTGTAATCATTATTATCTTACCACACACAACACATCTTCATCATGGATTATTTTGTAAAGGCCTATAAAGATTGGAAACTGCATTCACAGGTAAGAAAAGATTGAAATAAAAATTAAATCTTTTTATAATTAATAGATTATTAATTTATTAATAGTTATAAGGTATGTGTAACGAAAAAAAATCAAATTACAATAATATCACTTAAATTGATTGGTGGCATAATTTTTTTAGTTTTGTAACGGCTAAAATTACCTTAACCACAGTTACCCAGATTTGTATTATTTTGCAAAAATAATTAAAAAAGTGTTTAAAAGCACAGCATCTTCTCATGAACCGCCACCACATCTGTTATTTGAGTTCAACCTTCCAAGATGGGTTTCCATTACATGGAAATATGTAATTTCATCGTAAAGTCTGTGGTTTTTAATTTTTTTGTTTGGTATCGAATCTTTTCGATTCTTATACCTTCGATGAGTCACACAGTTTTATTCACATAAAAGACCTAAATTTAAAAAAGGGGTGAACTGGAAAGAAGTTCTTGTTATCACGAACCAGTTTTATTTTAAACACAAGAGTTTTAGGGAAATTTTAAAGAAGCCCACAGATATCATGGAAGTCCTTTTTTATGTGGAACATTGTGAACAGTATAATTTTTATACCCTTCACCACACTGTGGTACATGTGCATATGCTTGTAACAGGCAAAAGGAATTGAGATAGATCCATGGTTCCTTTTCAATCACTTTCTGAGTCAATTTATGCATGTCCGACAGTCCGTCCAAATATGTATTTTTGTTAACAAAATACAGGTGGCATTTGTGGTTCGATTTGGATGAAATTTGGCACAGTTCACTTATTTGGCCCAAGGACGAACCCTATTGAAATTGGAGAAAATCGGTTCAGATTTAGATATAGCTCCCATATATAGTTTAGTATAATTTTTATTGAATGATGCACCAAATTCCCAATATTTGTCCGATTGAGACAACATTTTGCACAGAATACTGAATTAGGTCCAGATTGATGTCTGCGAAGTTTTGTCAAAATCGGTTCAGATGTAGATATAGCTCCCATATATAGTTTCGTCCGATTTTTTGTGAATGATAACACCAAACTCCCAATATTTGTCCGATTGGAACAAAATTTTGCACAGAGTACTGAATTATGTCCAGATTGATGTCTGCGAAGTTTTGTTAAAATCGGTTCAGATTTGGGTATAGCTCCCATATATAGTTTTCTCCGATTTTAGGTAAATGATGCACCAAACTCCCAATATTTGTCCAATTGGGACAACATTTTGCACAGCGCACTGAATCAGGTCCATACTTATGTATGCGAAGTTTTGTTGAAATCGGTTCAGATTTAAATATATCTCCCATATATAGCTACGTCCGATTTTTTGTGATTATTTCATTTGTCCGATTGGAACAAAATTTTTTACAGAGTACTGAATTAGGTCCAGTATGATGTCTGAGAAGTTTTGTTGGAATCGATTCAGATTTAGATATAGCTCCCATATATAGTTTCGTCCGATTTGATGATACACCAAACCCTCAATATTTGTCCGATTGAGCAAAATTGCGCCTGATACCATCTCAATGGTCCTAAAAAGATAATATGTCTGTTCTATCTACAGGATATTGTAGATATTAAAATCTTTTGTATGTACCCAAAGTGGTGAAGGGTATCATATAGTCGGCCCCGTCCGACTTTTGAACTTTCCTTACTGGTTTAAAAATGTTTTAATTTTTTTAATAAGTTTCTACAACATTTTTATACCTTATTTTAATTTTTATAATTTTTTAAAACATTTTATTTAATTTTTTTATAAAATTGGATTTTTTATTTAAAAAATTTAATTTAATTGTAAAATTTTAAAAGAACCTCAAGCTTATAGTAAATATATTGAAAAACAATTATAAATACATTTAATTAAAAATAATATTAATTTTTTTTATTAAATTGAAAAACTCATAGTTATTTGAAAAATAATTCGTATAAAAGATTTATTTAAAAAAATATCGTTTGTAGAATTTTTAATTTAAAATTCACGTTTTAAGAAAATATTTCAAAAATGCACGCTTATATTTGTTTTTTTTTATATTTTTTATTATTTGTATAAATGTTTTTATATTTTTATTAAAAAATGTGTTTTTATAAAAATTATAAAAAATATGTTCTGTTAAAAAATCTACGATAATAAAACATATTTTATACTAAAAAAATAAAAATCCAGGCTTTTAAAAATTATAATTTTTTTAATCCACGATTATATTTTGATAAAGCATCCACGCCATAGAGACTAATTTATCCGATCACTTTATCGTCGTTATAGGTGATTTGGACTGATTTTTTTCTTATATAAAAATATTTGGGGTTTGTCAATAAATCTGAAGTCCACAATTTTATGACACCTGTTGTCTTAGCTGTCGAATTTTTTTTTGTATGTTTATATTTTTATAATCCCTGTCGCATGTTTTGTCATGTTTATGGCGAGGCAGATGATAAATTATGGATGGCTGGGGGATAGGTATCATAAACTAAGCTGTTATCTATCGGGGGAGGCAGCTGCAATTTGCAATTTTTTCCGCCCCCATTGGGCACACTTCACCAACTACTAACCTATATTAGAATGATTAACAAATAATAATAATAATTAAAACAATTGTTAATGTGTTATAAAACTATAAAAAAATTGTGTTATGGTTTTACGACATTCCATTTGGCTGGTGGTGTTTTTTCCCACATTAATATTCAAATCCGGTTAAAATATTCACTTGAATACGATATGAAATCCGGTTTTTAAGTAGTATGCCCTTTCGATATTTGTTTTCAGGTGGGTGACCGACCCAGCATCACTTCATCATCGTCAGCATCATTTTTTTTCTGTTGTGCCCGTATGTCAATTAGAACGAATCAAGTGGTTGGTTTCCCCCCTTTTCTGGGGTATTTCTGTGTGAATGGCTTGGCTGTCAACCAATGTGAGAGAGTGTATGTGTGTGAGTGTTAAACTAATTCTTAACGACAGCTGTTCAGAGCTGAGTTTGTGAAATAGATCTTTGTTTCATAAATATTTTTTTTTTTATTTTTGTTGTTGTAGTCACGAATGTGTCAATTATTGTTGTTGTGGTTTTTTGTTCTAATATCTGTTGTCTTTTTCTTTGTTTTGCCATTCCTACCAATCATAAGCCAAACCTGATGACCATGAAGTTGTTCAGTTCCTTCTACCCACCTAGTTTGTTGTTGTTGTTCTTATTAGTATTACTTGTCATAATAATTATTGGTATTACTTTTTGTTGTATATTGCCTGTATTGACAACAACTTTCATTAAATTGGCAACAACAACAACGTTCAACACCAATTGCCGCTGATGAAAGTAAAGCCAATTCAAAACAAGAACAACAATTTTTTTCTGAGCTGGGTTTCTTTTATTTTTGTTGTTTCTCTTTTTTCTCTCTCTCTCTCTCTCTCTTTCCTCATCCCAACATATGGTAATCCCTCAAAAATAATACACTCAAAGAAAAAAAGCTGTCAAACAACCAAGATGTGTCACGATCTCAGTGAATGGATTAATGACGTCTTCGCCTCATTATCATCATCATCATCGCCATCACTCACCATCGCCGACATCATCAATGGCTTTGTTGTTAAACAACAGCGCACAGCTACAACACAAATAAAGTAACTGTCAATCTACTATGGCTCTCTTGGTTGTTTCGATGAGCAAGACCGGGCTGGCAACACGACTAATTTTATTTTTGTTATTTTATTACAGTCGGAAGTCGGTAATATTTTTTTTGGGTTTTTTTGGATAGTTAAAATATGGTGGGAATTTTGAGAAATTATGCATAAAAAATATTGCTATTAAATTATTTAATTAATTACGACTCTTTCTTCTATGGCCAGATATGCTAAATAAGGTTCTATGATTAGACAATATTGAAACAACAAACAACAAATTATTTATGTCCCCGATATTCTTGCAAATGAAGAAATGATGAAATAAAAAATTTGTGGAATACATAGATATTTGAAATAATTTAGAACAACCGATTTTCAGGAAACTTAACACCCATCATCCTGGACTCAATTCAGTACACTGTGCCAAATTTCGTGCAAATCGAAGGATATATAGGTACTTTGGGGCGCCATTTACGTTAAATCGGACAAAAAATTATTAGAGCTATATATAAATCTGAACCGATTTTCAGGAAACTTAACATAAATCATTCTAGACCTAATCCAGTACGCTATGCTAAATTTCATGCAAATCGAAGGATATATAGGGACTTTAGTTCACCAATTACCTTAAATCGGACGAAAATATATATGGGAGCTATATCTTAATATGAACCGATTTTCAGGAATTTTAGCATACACCATTCTAGACTTAATCCAGTATGATATGCCAAATTTCATGCAAATCGAAAGATATATAGGGACTTTGGTACACCATTTACCAAAAATCGGGCGAAACTATATATGGGAGCTATATCTAAATCTGAACCGATTTTCAGGAAACTTAACACACATTATTCTAGACCTAATCCAGTACGCTATGCTAAATTTCATGCAAATCGAAGGATATATAGGGACTTTAGTGCACCAATTACCTTAAATCGGACGAAAATATATATGGGAGCTATATCTTAATATGAACCGATTTTCACGAAACTTAACACACATCATTCTAGACCCTATTCATTACGCTATGCCAAATTTCGTGCAAATCGAAACATATATAGCGGCTTTGGTGCACCATTTACCTTGAATCGGACGAAAATATATATGGGAGCTATATCTAAATCGGAATCGATTTTCAGGAAATTTAACACACATCATTCTAGACCTAATTCAGTACGCGATGCCAAATTTTGTGCAAATCGAAGGATATATAGGGACTTTGGTGCACCATTTACCTTAAATCGGTCGGAAATATATATGGGAGCTATATCTAAATCGGAATCGATTTTCAGGAAATTTAACACACATCATTCTAGACCTAATTCAGTACGCGATGCCAAATTTTGTGCAAATCGAAGGATATATAGGGACTTTGGTGCACCATTTACCTAAAATCGGCCGAAAC